CGACAAAAATATATAAAATAATGATAAATAAATGATAAATAATATTGTTATATGTACTACAATAATGTACTATACTGTCAGAGTTTTATTGACTGACCACTACTTTTGTACCCTTGTTATTTACTCTCTAACCTCTGCTCTTGTTATATATAATCGTCCACGTGCTCTGCCAACCCCACCAGTTCACGGAGGAGCTTGTACACACTGTAGTATACTGGATATTACAGACCGACCACAGCTCTTGCTATCTGTAACCGTTCCATGTGCTCTCTCAATGTCACCAGTTCACGGACAAGTTGGAGGGCATGTTGTCGGCTGTAATATACTGGTTTTTACTGACCGACCACAGCTCTTGCTGTATGTAACAATTAACGGACAAGCTAGTCCCCACTGTGTCTATCTCTAACCACATATCTGCTCTCTCAACCTCTCCAGTTCACGGACAAATTGGAGGGCATGTTGTCGGCGCTGTCGAACACGGCGGAGGAGATCTCGCGAGCCGAGCCGATCTCCGCTCACCCGGACAAGCTGAAGCAGCAGATCGACGAGAACAAGGCGTGGAAGGAGGACCTGGAGAAGAAGGAGAAGGCGCTGACGGCCGTGCAGCGCGCGGCGGCAGAGCTCATACAGCAGGCAGGCCCAGAGGAGGACGTCACCGTCAACGGTACGCTCTGTCACTGTCCGTCTCGTCATCATCGTGTCTGTCATGTTCCTGCAGCAACAGTATAATATGTCGCGTTTGCCCTCGTCGTTCGTATACGTGGCACGTTAATTAATGCTGCATGCACGGTCACGCGCAGCGCACACAGTCACTCCCATACAGTAGACTTTAGTCTCCATTCCAAGTCTCCATTCCAAGTCTGGAAGCAGAAACGTAAAACCCGTAATTAAATCGCCCGCACTCGACGCGCAGACAACACCGGTAACAGCGCGGCGGCAGTCTCACGTGCGACGACCTTCCCTTTGACCTTGCAGACATCAAGGGCAAGCTGGACCGGCTCGACCACCTGTGGACTAGCATGCAGTCGGCGACGGACCAGCGCGGCCGCTCGCTGGACGAGACGATGGACGTGTCTCGACGCTTCTGGGACGACCTTAACAACGTCATGTCGACCTTGAAGGAGCTTCAGGAGAGCCTGGGCGCACAGGAGCCGCCCGGGGTCGAGGTGGAGGGCATCCAGCAGCAGCAGGAAGTGCTATACGTGAGTACGGGAGGGTCCATATGGGGGATAGGGTCCTTGCAGGGGTAGGGGTCACTTTTTATGTTATTTATATTATTTCACCACCATTTATAACAACCATTTATATATGTCAGATATAAATAAATAAATATATATATACACATATATATAAATGTCTCAACATATCGTTCTGATTGAGTTCATATTTATATGTTAGAGTCCCCTCCCTCCCCTCCCTCGACGGCCATCCTGTCGTCTGCCCTCACACGTATCTCGCGACCTTGCAGGCAATCAAGGATGAGATAGAGGGCACGCAGCCGGACATAGATGCGTGTAAGCAGACGGGGCAGAGCCTCATGCAGCTGTGCGGAGAGCCGGACAAGCCCGAGGTGAAGAAGAACATGGAGGACCTGGACACCGCGTGGGACAGCGTCAACGCCACCTGCGGGAAGCGAGAGGAAAATCTACTCGACGTGAGTCATTGTTTGCATCGCGTCGTTTTCTGCATTTTTCGTCACTCAGATCTTAACTTATTTCCACCATCTTTTTTTTATGTAAATAGATGGCAATTTTCACCACCGTCACACGCGCACATCTCTGCTTGCAGGCGATGGAGA